CTCAGGCAACCCTGTTGGGGCAGAGTTGCCCTGCGCCCCTGTGGCGGGGGATGGGCTCAGTGGGAATCAGTTTGGGGGGCTTTTGTTCTCCGGCAGTTTTCCCTGGTGGCTTTCCGCATCTCTTCCGCGAGTCAGAGCAGACGAGACCGTTTCCAACCCTCTGCCTCAGAGCAGAGAGACCGCAGTCTGTTCTTCAGTGAGCCCTCCAGGCCACACCGTCTCCGTTTCTGTCTGTGCTGCTATAAACTGCAGCGTCCTGGGTTGTGTGCCCCTCCGCAGTGCTCCCAGTCCTGCCTCCAGGTCGGGGCTCGTCTCTGCCCTTTGTGCTTCTAAAACCGCCAGTGGCTCCCAGTTCGCGCCTGAGCGACCCCACTGCTCCGGGTTTCCTCCCCGGGGGCTGCAGTTCGCAGGTGCCACCCCACCGCTCCGGGTTTCTGCCCCGGGGGCTGCCCTAAAGTCCTTTCCCCGCCGCTACCGGTCTGCGAGTCTGTGCCCGTCCACAGCGCGCAAGGCTGTCGCTCACCAGCGGTGTAGGTGGAGCAGAGAGTTTTATTTTAGGGGCAGATTTATTTTAATATCTTTTTGACTTTCTGTCCTGGACTTATATTTTCAGGATTCAAGAGAGAATTTCCTTTTTTTTTTTTATACTTTGGAATCTTTTATGGAAAAACTTTTAACTACAGTGGAATCCTCAGGAGAAGATTCGTGAGGATTACAAGACCCTGAGGGCAGGGTATCAAGAGCCAACTGAATATAAAATATCTAATTTTATACTGAGCTTGTCAGATACATTAATTGGAAAGGAAAGTTTCAACAGGACCAGCCTGGGAAAGTGGCCCCTATGAGGTGAAACTGAAAACAAAACAGAACATTTTTTGGTTAATGGGCTACACAAAATATGTCTCTTTCTCACTTGACTTTTGACCAAAAAATGTAATGGCCAGTCTGACTCCTGCCTTACCCATCAAGCTGGCTTCTGAATGTCTTTTACTTCTTACCACTCAAACCCACCTTCAAAGGATAAAGATTTATCGCTACGAGGGCCACAGGCTCTGCAAGAACACCCCCCCAAAAGAGTTCCCAAAATGTCCTGAGGAGGCCAGCACTATTGAGGTAAATGTGTAATCTCTCTGAAGGAGCCAACTTCAAAAGGAATACCATTTATTCGCATGTCTGTGTTTCAGGATTGGGTTGAAAATAATCACATGACTTTCTGGCTATCTTTCATGTACTAATGTTCCTTTTGTCATCTGTACATCATTTGGTGATGTCACTATGCTCCTGAGTCATATACCCATGTTCACCTCTGTCCCTCTTGAGATATTTCAACTCTTTGAACTCACCCTCATGTTCTTCCCACAACACACCCATCTGTCTTTATTGTCACATTTACCTGCTGATTCAGACCATTCTGGCCTGTAAATCACACATCGTAACTTTGGCACAGTGCCTCCCATAAACTGGAGGAGGTCTGCTCTGTTAGCACAGCAGGAGACTGTTTCCCAAGGCAGGGTCCCAGGATACATCTGGATGAGACCACATCATGAGAGAGTCATGATATTACGTGTGGCTATTTTTCAATTTCACTTTAACTTTAGAATGCACTTTTATAATAAAAATACTACTGGATTTAATAAAGTACAAAATCATTTCTGTAGTATATGGTACCTTTAAATGAAATGCTTCTTTTTTCCCCCCGCTAACAGAAGGAACACCAGCAATTATTATTTTCTTGATGGAGCAACAAATGCAAGCCTTAAGCCAGGACAAGCGCTGGTTTCTGTTTTCATTACTGTCTCTAAAAAGGTACAAGATTATGAAGTTTATGATGTCCACTTTGATCTGTTTGTTTTAATGGCTTTATTTTTATCTTGAATTAAATTTAACATAATAAAAATAGAATTTTCAGCAAATACTTCATGCATGCCTAGGTGCAAACAATAACAACAGGTTAAATGTTAATCTATTTCATTAGAGAACTTCAAGACATTGCACTGTTTTCTTCAAACACTCTGCAAACCTAGGATCATTGAAATCACAAATCATGTCATTGAAAGGAGTAATTAGCTAATTGTATAGGAGAGGGACTGAAGTACAAAGAAATTTAATTATTTCAATGAAGTTTCATGGTGAAAGGGAGACAGACCAGGACCACAATTCTTATATAATAAAAATACTGAAACTGAATAGCATATTCTTAAAATCTTTTTAGTAAAATGCTTAGGGTTAACAAGAACCCAACAACAGGGGGCAGCAGAGACCTCTTCTGCCTGCACATATTTTATGTTCCCAGTTTAGGAATGTGGCTTTTTCTGCGACGGGGTTTCAAAGGTGACAACGTGTAGCAAGAAGGCAGATTTGTGATGAGTTCTTGTCATCTACTAGTGGCTCATGGCAAGGTGGTATCTCTGGGGCCTTCTCTCCATATTTTATTGTAATTAAATATGCACATCCTACATAGCTGGAATCTTGCAGTCCCACCCATCAGAGCCCAATGGATGACATCACCTCTGCTCCTAGGTTTACTGAATTGTGCCACTGTCTTTTCAGGAAGCCGGCCTTTAAATCACCAGCACTCTAATCTGGGTTTTCCACTGAGAATCCTTTCCAACAGTCAATAAATTAGGCAAAGTAGAGCAACGAAAGTAGGAAACTGCCATAAATTCTCATTTGCCTTTCTAAGCAAACACCAGCAACCATAGTCCTGTTGGCTCGTGGTTTCTGGGTTGGAAATGAGGAGTGGTTGGGAGGGGAAGATGAAAGATAAAATCTGAATGTGAGAACAAAAAAAAAGACTAGACTGAACCAGTTCCCTTCCCTCCTACAAGGTGCAGAGGTGGGGCTGGCCGGGGAAGATGGGTGTCAGTGCAGGCTCCCTCTCCAGTCTGCTGCTTCCAGGCTCTTTCCCATGCTTCGGCCCCTTTCCTCCTGGGGTCCTCTCTGCCCTCCCCTGGGTCTCGTATTTGAGACCTTCCTGTGCTTCCCGGTCCCTCACGTGGGACTCAGACCCCAATTTCCACAAATAAAGGGCCGGGGCCTATTCCTGCACTTGTCTTCAGCTCCCACTGAAGAAGTCAGTCCTACGCCCAGCTTAGCTGATTGTGGAAATGGATTTCGTCAACTTTAACCTGTGCTTATCCAGCAAAACAGTCGTTTTCAGGGAACACCTTTTCTTCTATGTCCCCTGGAGTCAGAGTTCACACTGCCACCTGCAAAGCTGCTTTTAGAAGTCCTGGGGACGTAGGTCCTTCATTGGGTCTAGGGCCAGGGAAAGTACGGACTGAGAAATCAATATAGAATGTGTGTGTACACATAAACACATACATATTTGCACTTTCTTAATATAAAAGTAAAACATGGCCTTTAAGAGATTGACATATATAAGAACAATATCAAGGAGAAAATTTAAATCTCACGGCCATTGTCAAACTATTTTTAAAATATTAAAAATTTGATTCTCATACAAATCTCATTAATGAGGAAAGCAGCAAGAGGATAAACTGAATGGAAGTGGATTTGAGAGGCTGAGGGTACAGACGCTGACAAAACAGTGGCAGAAAATTGTTAGTTTAGATGCAAAACTGGTTAACGTCTTATAGAGAATACAACTGTAACCTCTGAGAGCAGAACTGATTTGATTTGCTACTGGAAAAAAAATCCAATGTTATCATACAAGCTCACAGGGTCTAGGTCCTATTCAATAGTAAATAATAACGTTCCTTAGAGGAATGTCCCAGCGGAGAATCAGGTAATCCTTGGGTGGGTCTGCTAGACTGTTTCCATATCACATGGAAAGGATATATAGTCATGTTTTCGCTTTTTTTCCAAGTTCTAGATTGTTTTTATTTTAATAAATTTTCTTCCATTCTTAAGAATTTTTAGAGCACGTATAAATATATGAATAAATAAAACACATATTTTTACAAAGTGAGGATTAGATGGCATGTATAATCATAAATATTTCTTCTTTCACTTAATAGTGTATCATAAACGTGGTCCAGTCTCTTCCTGCTCTCCTCTTCCTCACACCTACCCTCTTTAGCTTCACACAGATTGACAATGAGGAAAAGAAAAATCTGGTTTAAGCTAAATAAACTCACTTGGAAAGTCCCCCATCACATGGGGGAAGATCTTTGCATTTCTTAGCAGATATTCTATCTTATAAACACTCCTGCTGGGTCAATTTGCTTTCTTTTTTTTTCTTTTTTTTTTTAGAGTAGCCTCCACGCCTAGCATGGAGCCCAATGTAGAGCTTGAACGTGAGATCAAGACCTAAGCTGATATCAAGAGTGGGAAAGTGGGACGCTTAACCGACTGAACCACCTAGGTGCTCCTATTTGCTTTTTTTTTTTTTTTGAGAGAGAGAAGTGGGGAGGGGTAGAGGGATAAGGAGAGAGAATCTTAAGCAGGCTCCACATCCAGTACAGAGTCCGACGAGGGATAAATCTCACGACCCTGAGATCACAACCTGAGCTGAAATCCAGAGTCAGATGCTTAACCAAATGGGTCACCCAGGGACCCCCCATCTGCTGTTTTTTTAAGCGTAGTGTGTGGATCCCCAGCAGCACCCCCAAGACCCAGTTGGACACCTCATCATGCATCCTCCAGGTGTTAAATATGGCACAGGAAAGGGTGCATCTTGTAATGACATGCTGCCTTGGCAGGAGAACCTTTCCTGGCTGTGGTAACCAGCACTGGCCACATGCTAAAATTACACAAAGGGCAGAGCTGGAAGGCCAGTTATACCCGGCAGGCACTTAAAGGCATAGTTATCTACTCAACTCAATACACTGACTGAAGTATTTCACAAAAAGCAACCCCAACATTTAGCTTGATAAAACAAAATTTAAAAGAAAGAAAACTGTGGGTTTGGGAGTGGATACAAAAGTAGACCCCTGCCAAGATAGAAAGCTGGTATCTGAAGAACCAGCGGTTATTATCTGAGAACGTAAAGGGTGAAAACAACTCCGTCAGCTCATGAGATCCCAAAGAGCTTTAATTCTCTCCACTGTTTTTCTGAATGTCCATCTTCCAAGGAGCCTGAATTCCTCGGAGTGCCGTGGACTGAGTGAGTATTGGTTTAGGAAACTCGAGGATACGCCCCCAGTGGAAGGTGAGAATGACACACTCTCTCCGGAGGATGCCTTCCCCCCTCATCCTCTGCATCCAATGAAACCAGGGGTTTCCACTTCCCATTATGGACTTGCCTGGGGGCGCTCCCATGAATTCCGGTGGGTTCTTGGGCTTCCATTCACACAGAAGAGGGCCACATCATCCCATGTAACACTTGGCACCTTTGGGGTTCTGTTTCTTCTCAGTTCCATGGATGCCTCTGAGGCCCCGGCATTGCCTGGTGGGGTCCACGTGATAAGGGCTCAGCACGTTCCCGGGGGCGGTGACGGAGGAGAAGAGGAGACTGTACGCACAGGACCAGGTAGGATGACGACAGTGTCGGAGATTCTCGCAGCACCTTAATAATAGTAGCAGCTGCTCTTCCCTGGTAGTTTGCCAGGTGCCTTTAGACACATGACCCCATGGAGCCCTCCTGACAACCTTAGATGATTTATTTGTACTAAGTCCATTTCAGAACACATTTAAGGCAGCTAAGAACCCTGTTAAGTTGACACAGATGTCTCCATTTTAAGAGAGTTCTGGTAAATTGCCTGAGGCTATACAGTTAGTGGTGACAGAGCCAATATTCAAACCCAGCCCCAAGCTCTATCCTGCAGGTAGCCCCACACACATCACAGCCGGGCATGTTGTCCCTGGCTAAGGGGACCTTGCTAGTGTATGTTTCTGTTCCCTTCTGGAATGTTACTTGGTTCTATTTTTTTCTGCAGGTGATTTATGGGGATCAGACTGTACTGTGGCTGCTGATTCATATGCTTATGCCAGGCAGGTCACAAACAAAGCAAAGATTGTGAACCAAGATGTGGAGCCTGTGATTATGGGCATTCAGTCAGAATTCAGTCAGTCTCTGGTCATTTGGTGGTGATGATTCTTTCTGGAAAGTTCCAAAGCATATTGTTAGCAATATGTTTGTGAAACCTCTTTCTCTTGTGTGGCATTTCCCAGCTGCTGCAGAGATACAACACAGACCACGAAGCATACTTTCTTCTAAAAGTTTCAGTCTGCCTTTCTTTCTCTTACTGCTACCTGGAAATATGTCCTCTCAGCCCACAGCGGATCCATAATTGTGCCTACTGCCCTTAAATATTCCTGAAATGCTCTGCTCGTCCTAAAGGGAAACCGTTACAGAAAGCCCCAAGTTCCAGATTTGACGTTCAGACCTTAGAAAGTTCAAATCCGTGCCCTTTACATTTTTAAATTTAAACTTTGTTTCTCTTAGCTCCTGCCCCATATTTCACCTGCCCTCATCTCTACCTCCCTTAAGTTTTCTCTTGCTCCATGTAGAACCAGCTTACTCACCACTAAATGTGAGAAATGTCCCTTTTTCTTCCTGGGCTTTTCTGCACTTTTTGCCAGGTTCCACGGTAAAGCTGCAGTGATTCCTTTTGTGTATTCCTGATGCCACTGAAGAGGGAAATAGCAGTCATCGGAATTGTTTGCATTACGTTGGCTTGGGTAGCAGCCTGCTAGATGCCCTTGGCCCTTTTACTTAAGGACAGAAATGGAAGATTTGTTCACAAATGAGTACAGTAGAATGACATCTCACCTGGGGTCAGCTTCCAAGTGAAAAATCAAGAATGATCAAAATTAACCTTAACATACTGTCCTGTGACACCAGGAGAAACCAAGATAAAAAGGATTAAAATTTAAATGTCAGAAATGAAATCCAAAGAATAAAAGAAGAAATCATGGAAGAATTCCTTTATAGTATTTCTAACTATGACTCAAACTCTAAATTCCGTAAAAGAAAAGATTAATAATTCAGTTACATACAATAACACGCTTCTGCATAAAGAAAAATATAATAAACAAAGTTCAAAGACAAGCACCAACTGGAAAAATTTTTGCAAACCACAACACAGACAACAAGCTGATTTCCTAAGTATATAAAGATCTCCCAGAAGTCATGAAGAAAAAGCCCATAAAAAAGTGGACAAAGGATGCAAGCAGTCAGATCACAGGAAGAAAATATAAATGGCCCTTTTATAAATGAAGAGATGCTAAGTCTTACTAGTAGGAGAAATTCAAATCAAAAGCTACAATGAAAGGAATGCCATTTTTAACCTATCAGATTGGCAAAAATACAAAAGTTTGACAAATTCAGTTGCAAGCTGTGGGAAAAAACAGGTAGTCTCCTATGTTGCTGATGGAAGCGTAGATTGGAACAATTTTATGAAGGGAAATTTAGCAGTATCTATTAGAATTCCAAATGCTTTCGCTTCCTGACCCAGCAACCCCACTATGGGAATTTATCCTGCAATGTAGCTTGAACACATTCAAAATAATGTTTTCAAAGTTATTTACTGCAGCATCATTTGCAATAGTAAAATATATATTTCTATATGTATATTTCTAATGCAATAACTCATGCCCATCCATCTCTACAATGGAATTTTATGTAGCTATATATATTTTTAAAAGGAACAAAGACGTTCTCTATATGCAGATATATAAAGATCTCCAAGTTATAATGGTAAGTGAAAGGAAAATGCAGAAGAATGTTTGTACAGGGCGCCTGGGTGGCTCAGTTGGTTAAGCGACTGCCTTCGGCTCAGGTCATGATCCTGGAGTCCCGGGATCGAGTCCCGCGTCGGGCTCCCTGCTCGGCGGGGAGTCTGCTTCTCCCTCTGACTCTCCTCCCTCTCATGCTCTCTGTCTCTCATTCTCTCTCTCTCAAATAAATAAATAAAATCTTAAAAAAAAAAAAAAAAGAATGTACAAAGGAGGCTCATAAAAATATTCATTTTGCTTATATATGCATATAGAAACTCTGGAAGAACACACAACCTAACAATGGCAGTCAGCTTTGATAGGAGTAGGTAGAAACTAGACAGAGAGACAGGGAGAAGAGCAAGATTCTTCATCAAATACATTTTATTTTTTTCCATTTTAAATTGTTTGAATGTGTTTCTATTTCTGAAAAATAATTTTTTAAAAAACATTGAAAAATCCCTTAAGTTGTCTATAAAGTACAGAACATAAGGTTTCATACATATGATCTTATTCCATAATGTTTATGCAACTTAAGTTTGAGAACAACTTGACTAAAGGAACAAAGGTTAAGTTGCTATGCAGGTATCTGGGTATTGAAATCATTCTCCTTTAACATACCTGTCAAATTCCTGGCTGGGAGTGGGTGGAGAATTCTAAAAAGCACCTGCTTTCCTGGAGGGATTAGACTAATCTAATACCAGACCTCCAAAACAAGCCTGTTTGTTGTTGTGAGAACAGGAGAAGAGGGGAGTGCCTGGGTAGCTCGGTTGGTTAAGTGTCCAACTCTTGATTTTTTGGCTCAGGCCATGATCTCAGGGTTGTGGGTGGGGCCCTGCACTCAGCAGAAAGTCTGCTGGAGATTCTCTCTCTCCCTCTCCTTCTGCCCCTCCCCACCCCTTGCCTGCCCTCTGTCTCGCTCTCAAATAAGTAAATAAATCTTAAAAAAAAAAAAAAAAAGGAAATCAAGGATTCCCAATTTCAGTGAAGGTTGAAGTTAATGGGTAAGTTAAATAAGCAGCTGATATGGGATTCCATGATATGGTAGTGATATTTTCTAAACTGTGGCAGGCCAGGGTTCATGGTCTGAGAAGTGCAGCTGTACCCGGTGAGGCACTAGGAGGTCATATCTAAAATTGGTGCTGTCCTAGGGAATTCTAGAAGTAATGGTTAACATCATGTATGATTTTCAGAGTGAGGGATGTGGAGGTGATCCAAGTCAGAAATCTTGAATTGCACTACATTGGTAATACCTTTTATTTATCTCTCAAGATGCAATACAACACAAATCATTCATTGGGCCTGGAAAAAAAAAGAAAAAAAAAAACTGAGAACAAGGAAATATTGAGGGTGCATTTCAATCCATTGATCAAATCATTGAAGGTGAATTCTTAAGTCCTTTTTCATCATCAGAGTTTTTAATATATAGATAAGATTTTAATCAATAATGCTGATTCTGTAGAACTTGGGTGCATTCAACTCATCTTAACTCTTCTCATGGAAATTAGTAGAGAGATGGACCATCCAGGACATCAGACTCAGAGAGGAGGGGGAGGTTTTATGAAGGCCCTTGATTCCTTGGCCAAAAAGTTAGTACTGGTTCTGTAGACTATGGAAAACATTTGAAATTTTGAATAGGAGGGTGATGTGATCAAAATTTCCCTTTAGTGAATTCGGCAGTGCAACTGGAGCAAGGTGGGAAGGGAGTGTCCATGGGAAGCAAGATAAGGTCATTATCGTCTGTCAGGTAGAGATGATGACTGGGACTGGGTGTGAAGAGCAAAGGAGGATCAAAGAAAACCTTGAGATTAGAGGTCGGTTGACTGGGAAAAATGGTTATCATTAATGACATGGGGAGACATCATGACCTGTTTAGAAGTAAGCAGAAGATGAAGGTTCAAGGGACTGGCAGAGCATTCAGGGGCATTGCCCACAGGTAGTTAGGAGGGAGTTCTGGTGCTTTGGGAGACACTGAAGCTGGAGTTGTAGGTTTGGGAGAAGCCATGAGAGTGAATTAAGTCACCAAAGGAGAGAATAATATCTGAAAATCTATTTTTTAAATATTTCTAAATAAAAATACAAGTGCTTTAAGACCAAAACCTGAAATAAAGAAAGTAGAGAGAGAAGGAGTTGGTACTATGATTAATGAAAATTATAGCCACCATACACATGGCAGAAGCAGGAGAGAGTAGAGAGAGAGAGAGAGAAGGGAGATGGCCTGAAGATAGAATCCTTAGCATCACTTCCAGTTGGAGTTATTACTAATTCCCACACTTCTGTCACCTAGAAAACTAAAACTGGATGAACATAGTCATTTCAGGATGCCCATTCTGGACACTCAAGGGTATGAATTCAAGGGCTGCCCCTATATAAATATTTTCTGATACCAGATAGATCTAAAATTTATATTGACAGGTGGATCACTAAATGCGTCACCAAGTCTTTTCAATTGCCCTGATACTTTTCTGCACCATCTCCTGCTTCTTGAATGCAAACAAACTTGATTTTCTAATACCTATGATTAATGATAGATTTCTGAAGTTTTTACTTCCTACTTGGGTGAAATTTGTTTTTTAAAAAAGCTTTCATCCTCCACTTCTTCCCCACCATGCCCTCACTTCGCTCCCATAGAACCATGTATTCTTCATAGATAACGTCCCTGGGGGTTTTCAGGGCACCTCTCTCAGTGGGTGCTGAATTGTGGTTGGGAGTCTAATCTTTCCAGGGAAGCGAACAGTGTGCGACTGGCTGGGTGTCACTGTTGAAGTACAAGTCTCTCCGTGCTATGGGAAGTCAGCTCTGCGCCCAGGCCGTTTCATTGTAGAAATGGCTTCACTCTTAGGAAAGACCATCTTACTCTTTATTCTTATGTGATAGCAGAGTTGGCTCAAGCCAGTAGTAATTAGTTGTAAATCTTGGCAACACACTGCTGTGGGTATGTAGGGAAATGGAGCCAAACATGTAGGAGACATTCTAATTACATGTAACTCCTCAGGTATCTTGTGTATATTAACAGCTGCCTGTGAACACTTCACCAAATTATAATGATTCTTTGAAATCAACACAGGAAACCAAATGTTATCCCCATTACCTGGAAGAAAATAATATTAACGTTAATAAAAAGCACTGCATTCTGTTTAGAATATGTTTAAATTAAGTATCTCTAAAAACCAGAGCCTCATCTGCTCGCTGTGTTTAACAGGGGAAGTGCACTTTGGAGGGCAGGCACATTTTTATGTGGAAACTCAAAGTGAATGTGGTTCAGAGGATGGAGAAACGGTCATACACATGTCAAGCCAGGATGCAGCATTTGCACAGGTGGGTTTCCTTTCCAGTCATGATTTTGGGGTCATAGTTGATGCATTTCTAAATGAGGTGTTGTCATTTTCTTGCTTTATAGCTGTAGAACCCAGGTGTAAGAGATAATGTTCAGTTAAACATTGAACATCAAGATAGGGGCAAAGCCCAGCCCCAAATTATACCAGTTTCCTCTAGTCCCCCCAAGAGTACTCCTCCCCTTCTTCTCAAATGATGGCTGCCTCCTACGTCTCCATTACCACCATCACCCCATTTCCTCTCCTCACCCAGCACACACACAGTCTCAGAAGGTGAGGGGTCCTCCCTCCTTTTCAGGGCCAACCCTTACATTGTGCTTTTGGTTCCACCCACTGTCCATAATTACCCCTTCTGTGTTCTATAACTTCATCTCTTTACTGCCTCATTCTCATCAGTCCATAAATTCAAGTCTGTCCCATCCTTAAAAGTGAGCCTCTCTTAATCCTCCTTCGACCTTTAGCTATGGCTTCTGTCTCCTTCCCTTCTGAGACAAATTTTTATATCAATTGCCTACCCTCTCTACTTCCTTACTTCCCATTTATGTCTCAACGTACTGCTTCTGCCAAGACCACCAGTGACTCAACAGTTCTTCAGTCAAAGAGACACTCTTCTACCCTTTCTACACTAATGCCATCTACACTGCAGACCATTCGGTCATCACAACTCTACTACCCTAGCTTCTCTGACACTACTCTCTCCAGTTTCTCCTTAGGCCTCTTTGCTCTTGCTTTAATTCCCCTCTGGGCTTCTCCATCTCTGTCTGGGCCTGTTATTCTTTTGGGAGCCCAGATCCCTTTGAGAGTCTGAAGGCATAGACCTTTCTCCCAGATAAAAAGGACATATGTTCTATGTAAGTAGCACTACCAGCTACAACAGACAACCCCCAAATCTTAACAGATTAGCACAACCAAGGCTGATTTCTTGATTGGACAAAGTCTAATGTGGATGTTCTCCTAGACAGGTCTCCTCCGAGCGTGACTCAGGGATCCACCTCCTTTTATGTGGCTCAGCCATCTTGGATTCTTTGGCTTCCAGATGGGAAGTCAGGGCGGATCAAAGATGACTGTGATCCTGTCATACAATGTCACTTAGAAGCAAGAGAAGCTGAAAAATGTAGTTAGCTACATGCTCAGAGAGGAAAAGAATTGGATATCAGTGAACACAATGCTGGGGGTCTCCAGACTCCTTGAAGCCTAGATCAAGAGCTACATTAAATGTTAGAGTTCTATTGGATCCCCATAGTCCATTGCTTGCCCTTCTTTTTCAAGGTCTCATTGGTGCTCTCACTGCCTCTCATCTTTTCTCTACCCTCTTCATACTGAAAATTACCCACTATGCATCTCTAGCTCTGATCTTTCCCCTGAAGATCTCATTTTCATATCTAAGATATTTCATTTGGTTGGGCCATAGTCACTTCAAAATCAACAAGATCAAAACTCAACTAACCATCTTCTTCCTTAAGCCAATTTTACTCTGTTTTTGACCTTAAACAATGACCTTATCATTTACCTACTCAGATAAGGCAGAAAACCAAGTGGCATTTTTAATCTCTCCCTCACCCTCACTTCCTGCAGAAAACCCTCCCAATTACCTCTTAAATGTTTTTTAACTATTCAATATATTTCTCTTATGTTTTACTATTTAAATTTTTTATTTTGAAAAATTTCAATCATTTAGAAAAATGAACACCTATAGACACTCTTACCCTGGATTCACCAGTTGTTAATATTTTGCTTCATCTGTGCTCCCCTCCCTCTCTCTCTGTTCCCCCCACACCCTCCTCTATCAGTGTTCATTCTTCTGAATGGTGGAAGTTTTTCAAAATAAAAGATTTAAAAATAGCAAAACATAAGAAAGAAATAAAATGTTAAATATCTATATATACACACATATTCCTATAATATTATCCTTCATAGTCACAGCCAACATTCTTGGAAAACTTAACATTGATAGAATAATATTTATGATATAATAGTAATATATGAGTCTTATTTAGATTTCTCCTATTGGCTTGATAATATCTTGAGGTTTGTTTATTTGTTTTTTCTGGTCCAGGGCTAAATGCAGGATTATGCACTGTATGTCTCTTTTAACTCCTTTAAAACAGTTTCCCAAACTTTTTTTTTTTTTTTTTTTAATGGCATGAATATTTTTGTAAAGCCAGGATAGTTGTTCAGCGTAATATCCCTTAGTTTGGGTTAGATGGTTGTTCCCTCCTGAGTAGATTCAGGATAACTATTTTTGGCAGGGGTGTCTTTTGAGGGCATCACACCTAGAGGCACATGACATTTGTGTGGCCCATTATCAGTGATGTTCAGTTTGATGATCTGGTTAAAGTGGTACTTCCAGGTTCATTGTAAGTAAGGGTGACTTTCCCCTTTGAGATGAATAAGCTTTCTGGAAGTGTTCATTTGAGGCTGAATGAATATTCCGTTCCCCAGGAGTCTTTCACTCATTTTAATTTAATTAATTAATTAATTAATTAATTAATTATTTCAGAGAGAGAGAAAGGGACGGAGTGAGGGGAGGGGCAGAGGGAGAAGGAGACAAACAGACTCCCCGCTGAGCGGGGGCTCCATCCCAGGACCCTGAGATCACAACCTGGGCCAAAATCAAGAGTCAGAGTGATGGGGTTTTGGAATGTAGGTGAGGTTTGGTGGGGTGAGGTCCGGAGCCAATGACCAAGAAAGAATTCTTGAGACGTCTTTGGTGCAAAATGGTGGTTTTATTAAAGCACAGGGACAGGACCCATGGGCAGAAAAAGCTGCCCCGTGTTTGTGAGGTGTAGCTAGTTATCTACTTGGGAGTTGGGGGACTAAAGAAAAGGGAGGTTTCAGAAGGATTTTCATATGTTAAAGAAGACTCACAGGATAACTGGAGGCCTTGCCATTGTCAAGTTAAGGTTGTTTCCTTCTATGTAAAATTAATACACAGAAATCAGTTGCATTTCTATACACCAACAACAAGACAAAAGAAAGAGAAATTAAGGAGTCGATCCCATTTACAACTGCACCAAAAACCAAAAGATACCTAGGAATAAATCTAACCGAAGAGGCAAAGAATCTGTACTCAGAAAAACTATAGAATACTCATGAAAGAAATTGAGGAAGACACAAAGACATGGAAAAATGTTCCATGCTCATGGATTGGAAGAACAAATATTGTGAAAATGTCTATGCTACCTAGAGCAATCTATACATTTAATGCAATCCCTATCAAAATATTATAAACTTTTTTCAAAGAAATGGAACAAATAATCCTAAAATTTGTATGGAACCAGAAAAGACCCCAAATAGCCAGAGGAATGTTGGAAAAGAAAAGCAAAGCTGGTGGCATCACAATTCCGGACTTCAAGCTCTACTACAAAGCTGTAATCATCAAGACAGTATGGTACTGGAGACACATAGATCAATGGAACAGAATAGAGAGCCCAGAAATGGACCCTCAACTCTATGGTCAACTAATCTTCAACAAAGCAGGAAAGAACGTCTAATGGAAAAAAGACAGTCTCTTCAATGGAAGAAAGACACTCTCTTCAACAAATGGTGTTGGGAAAATTGAACAACCACATGCAGAAGAATGAAACTGGACCATTTCCTTACACCACACACAAAAATAGACTCAAATAGATGAAAGACCTAAATGTGAGACAGGCATCTATCAAAATCTTTGAGGAGAACACAGGCAGCAACCTCTTCGACCTCAGCTGCAGCAACTTCTTCCTAGAAACATCTCCAAAGTCAAGGGAAGCAAGGGCAAAAATGAACTATTGGGTCTTCATCAAGATAAAAAGCTTTTGCACAGCAAAGGAAACAGTCAACAAAACCAAAAGACAACTGACAGAATGGGAGACGGTATTTGCAAATGTTTTATCAGATAAAGCGTTAGTATCCAGTCTATAAAGAATTTATCAAACTCAACACCCAAAGAACAACTAATCCAATCAAGAAATGGGCAGAAGACATGAACAAACATTTCTCCAAAGAAGACATCCAAATGGCCAACAGACACATGAAAAAGTGCTCAACATCACTCGGCATCAGGGAAATACAAATCAAAACCTCAATGAGATACCACCTCACACCAGTCAAATTAACAAGTCAGGAAACGATAGATGTTGGTGAGGATGTGGAGAAAGGGGAACCCTCCTACACTGTTGGTGGGAATGCAAGTTAGTTCAGCCATTCTGGAACACAGTATGGAGGTTCCTCAAAAAGTTGAAAATAGAGCTACCCTACAACCCAGTAATTGCACTACTGGGTATTTACCCCAAAGATACAAATGTAGTGATCCAAAGGGGCACCTGCACCCCAGTGTTTATAGCAGCAATGTCCACAATAGCCAAACTATGGAAAGAGCCTAGATGTCCATCAACAGATGAATGGATAAAGATGTGGTATATATATACAATGGAATATTATGCAGCCATCAAAAAAATGGAATCTTGCCATTTGCAACAACATGGAAGAAACTAGAGGGTATTAGGCTAAGTGAAATAAGTCAATCAGAGAAAGACAAGTATCATATGATCTCACTGATATGAGAAATTTGAGAAACAAGACAGAGGATCTAGGGGAAGGGAGGGAAAAATGAAACAAGACGAAACCAGAGAGGGAGACAAACCATAAGAGACTCTTAATCTCAGGAAACAAACTGATGGTTGCTGGAGTGGAGAGGGGTGGGAGGGAAGGGGTGGCTGGGTGATGGACACTGGGGAGGGTATGTACTATGGTGAGCACTGTGAATTGTGTAAGACTGATGAATCATAGACCTGTACCCCTGAAACAAGTAATACATTATATGTTAATTTAAAAAAAAAAAAAAAAGGTTGTTTCCTTCTAGCAAGACATTAACAGTAAGATAGTTGGGAGTTTCCTGGAGGAACATTACACTCT